TGACTGGCATCTGAATTCTATGGGATTTATAAGGATATCATGCCAGAAGCCACTCATCAGAACCTAAATGGTATCTAACTAAATCCAGTAGAATTAAATAATTTATAACATCCAACGCATTTTTTAAATACAAAGTGTAAAGTGTAATATCAATATGAACACCAAGGGAGTGCCAATCTATGTACAAACAATTTACATGTCTATCAACTATGAAAGATAACTCAAATCTGAGTATTAATGTATAGATAACAAAGATGAGAACAAAAGTATACTCTCTCTCTAAAACTTTCTCCCTCTAAAATTATCTCTACTTTCTGAATCTTCTCAAAACAAAAACCCTTTTCCTCTAATCTCTTTTTCTCTTTTGTAAACACTAAGTCCACATAACTGTGCGGATTTTCTCGCAGTTTGGGTCAGCCGTCATGGCCGACCGGCTCTCTTAGTCCGGGGTGAACAAAACGCCTCTAGCGAGCACAAGTGTTTGTCGTTTATTTTGTTAAGGGGTCGGTCTTTGCAAGCTGGAATGGTTGTCGGAAAACGTAAGTTCTTGATGATAGGAAGCAAGTCTTTTGATGTGATGGTAGAAGGGCAGGGCTTAAGAATTTTCGAGAATGGTAGAGTCTTTCGAAAATTAATCTTCTACAGCAAGGACGAGACAGAGTGGTTGAGGGAGTGTTTTAGACAATTCCGATGGGAAAGGGGGAGAATCATGGGACAGGAATCGAGGCAGTAAAGAACACATTATGTGGATGGTGTTGAGCGGAAATGGAAAAGGTATTTTCATTGTCCTTTCTCATATGAAAAGGGGTCAAAAGGGCATATGTATCCATATATCATTCGAGAGGGTGAAACAGCACTTCGGTGGTGGCAGATGATGGAGGCAATATACGAGGTAAGCGGGGTCGAATTAATAGTACCGAACTGGGTGACAAAAAAGGATTAAAAGATCATTCCGGCAAACTTCCCGGCCATTACTGCTAGTCAAAAGGCTTTGTTTACTGACAGCAGATGTCTATGTTGTAACAGGGAGTTGGTGGTTTGGCTGGCTAGAAAGAAAGGTGCATCTTTCATGGAAATCCTACAAAACTGACCCCTGAACCCTAAACTGAGTGCAAACGAAGATACCCGACCCGGCTCCTCAACGCAGCCAGTTCAAATTTCAAAATGCCTAATTGCACCAAATCGAGGGGGGAGAGACCCAAAATAATTTTGGGAGAAACGACACTCTCTCAAGTTGCTCTAATATCCCACTAAAAGGAAAGTCAATTCCGAGTGGAGGGAAAATCACAAAAATTGGGCCAAAGTTGGGTCGTAAGTTCACTTGGGCTGAAAAGGATAAATGGGCAATTGGTGCGGATCAGGCTGTCCCATCCGAGAGGCCCTATTTAAATGGTCGACTAAGACGGGTTGTAGCCAGCCCATTCAAGAAAGCTGGTGGAAAAATTAAAAGGAAAAATAGAAGAATTCACAAGGATTGTGCCCTAAAAGAAAAAGTTCTGGCTGAGAAAGAACCTTTGGGAAAATTGCAGTATTTGGGCGGAGAGAAAGATTTTCTGGAGATGATTATTAGCTCAGCCAGCTTGGGAAAGTTTGAAAAAAGAGCAAACTTGGCAATAGGTTGTTTGAGCGAGACGGAGAACTTGGGTTTCATGAGAAGGGGAGAAGGGCCCGT